CAAAATTGTTGTCACACGCGCGATTCGTGATTTTCGTCACACTAAGTACACTCAAATACAAAATCTACTATATCTCAACTAATACTTAACCAAATTATATGATCTAAGTTGTAAAAATTATGTTTTTAAATTAAATTTCATATTCCAGAAAAACTAAAGTGAAATGAGCAAAAATTGAGCAAGATACAACACAAAATGTGAGTTTTCCCTATATTTCATGTATATGAGTTTTCCTGGCCCCAAAACTGATTGTACAATACTATAAGCTAATCTAAATGATGAATATTACTTTATTATTAATTTACATATTGAATTATAACTAGGGTACAGAGTATACATATAAGTATAATACATATTTAAGTTTGCTAAAATTGAGCATTTTCCCCTAACCTCTCTACACTCAGGGAAGCTTCTCCTGAGTACTATTCATGTTTATAAATTCATTCCAAATAAATTAGACTATTTTTAAGCACTTTTAATAGTTTTAGCATGGATTTCTAGTCTAGATTAAGTAGTAAGTCATTATTATACATATTACTTTGACAGTACTTCTCTAGCTTATAAAACTATACTATAACTTATAAAAGTGCTCATATCTGATATGTTTTGGTTAGAGTGAATTTACAAACATAAATAGTACTCAGGATAAGCTTCCCTGAGTGTAGAGAGGTTAGGGGAAAATGCTCAATTTTAGCAAACTTAAATATGTATTATACTTATATGTATACTCTGTACCCTAGTTATAATTCAATATGTAAATTAATAATAAAGTAATATTCATCATTTAGATTAGCTTATAGTATTGTACAATCAGTTTTGGGGCCAGGAAAACTCATATACATGAAATATAGGGAAAACTCACATTTTGTGTTGTATCTTGCTCAATTTTTGCTCATTTCACTTTAGTTTTTCTGGAATATGAAATTTAATTTAAAAACATAATTTTTACAACTTAGATCATATAATTTGGTTAAGTATTAGTTGAGATATAGTAGATTTTGTATTTGAGTGTACTTAGTGTGACGAAAATCACGAATCGCGCGTGTGACAACAATTTTGAAAACGGCTGTAAACAGTATGCAAAACATGAGCCACCTCGATTGATTCTAAGCTCAAAGCATGTGTATCGCCTTTAAGTGCTCACCTAAAAGTGTTGATATCTCTCTCTATTCTCGGAAGTCGAACGATTCAGAATGTTCCTAAGCATGAGGAACGTAACCCCCTTCGATTTACTGCTGTTTGCATAATTCCTTAGAATAGCAGTGCACGTGATTTTTTTGTCGCGTTGTGTTCAACTTAGTCAAAATTACAGAAAAACATTGATTTCTCCATCAATATAAGACATTATCTCATAATTAAGCAATGAAAAATTAGATAAGATAAAGATTTATTATAATATGAAAAAAAGTGTGAGATTTGGGGCTTGTTTGATAGATATAACAAAATGAAAGTGTATCTGCCTAATTCCTAATCTATCAATATTCCTTTGAAAATTCTGTAACCTCCCCCAGCATATGGATAAAATCCAGAGAAAGACACCTAAATTATTTTATTCATTTCTTGCATATTTTTCCAAATTTTGAGAGACAGGGGTGCTGTATTTGCTTTGTTATTGAGGTAATTTTACACTAACTACTTATTTAGTCCCCAACTTCAGAACCTTAACAGTTTGTAAATTATGATCCAGCATGTGTAGACCTCCTTTATAGCTGTAATAAACAGTATGAGACAGGAGTCTTATATCTTTAGACTTCAGGAGTCCTTGTCATTTAGTTGTCTCAAAAGCACACTCTTACACAGTAGAGCATCTTGTTCTTAATGAAGTACATACAACAGGGCAGTAGATAGCATCAACAACAATAAAGAGTATATAAGAGTCTCCCTGTTGGAGGGGCGACAGTGCATTGTCAAGTAGTTGAGTACTTGGCACACAGAGAAAGTGCTACTGTGGCAGGAAACTCTACTACAGTATTGTAAAGGATTCAAAGGCTAAATGTGACAGAGAAAAGGAAAGATACATCATATCCTACATTTGATCATATAAAATAAAAACTTATCACACAGTGAAACGCAAAGCTCAACTGATACTGTATGATAGCAGTCTCAGTTGGGAGGCAGGACATCCCTTCAAGAAACAGGTCAGTACTAGCTTGATAAAATAGAAAATGTGTAATACATACAAAGGGCCCTTTACACAGGCCTCATCCTAAGGCATAGCAACACCTGACTTTGAAACTGTTGTAGCACTGCTCTCAGACATTGTACAAGGCCTTTCACCCCTAACCATCAGTTGGCTAAAGAAAAGCTCTGCCTTCTGCTCCATGGTTTCAAGGATGAAATGCACTTCAGCTACTAGAGGTGCAACCTACAAATAAACTTGAGTATGCAAACCTTGAGTGTAATATGGCAGTAGATTGTGTAACAATGCTAGCTCATTATACAAATTAAAGTAGAGGTAGTAACTAACACAAGACAGCCTGGACACTCTAATGTAAGGGTACCCTTTGATCCTGTACTTGATGTAATACACAAGGATGGTGCATTCTGTGTGAATGTTCAGAGCCTATACAGCTTTGAATACGAATTTGAATTCAATCATCTTCTGTATAAAGTCATTGTAACTCATTTTCCTGTAATCTTTGAATAACTTCTTGATGTGCAGGTTGCTCCTGAAGTCATAGTTGATATGCCTAACATGACTTTCAGTATGCACAACATTGAGCTACTCCCTGTCAAGTATAAATCTGCACGTCACTGATTCACAAAGTAGGAGCAGTTGTTGGATGCTTGCATCTATTGTTAATAGCTTTTCCACTATGCATTAAAACCTGTCTTGATTGGGATGATTGTACAGAGCTTGTACATACTTATAAACTAGAGAATGGGTCTGTCAGACAGGTTAATTTGCCATAATAACTGATAATACATACTAACATTGTCCAAAAATACAACTCCTCCCCTGATACACCTCACCAGATTGTTTGCAACCAAACATGATTCCAAAACATCTATCAGGTCTCTGCCTTCAAAAGTGTACTGCTAATAATGTTTGAGAACCTGAATCAGAGTATTAACAAGCTCCTACTGTGTGTCTGTCACTTTGGGTGGATGAATGGTCCTAGGGTATGACCTGTATAGCTTTGTAGGACTTGGCAGCTTGGGAGGACATCTACTTTCCTTGTCTCATGCCTCCTTGCTTGCTCTTGCATTGATTAGTGTGTCATACATACTATACATTACTACCTTGTCATAATACCACTTTATACAATACCTAGAGAACATATAGTAAAGCTGGTAAAGTTTGAGTGTTGGATTACTTGGGACAGCATTATCTTCAGGAGTTTTCTCACCTTCTGTTCAATCTACTGTTGATTGTAATGACTTGAGGATTCCCTATATCTGTTATAAGTAGTTCTCTACTACAGTCAACTTATCTGGTAATCTGTTCTCTCTAAAGTAAAGAACAACTCAATTGTTGTCTGTAGGAATGTAGCCAACAGTGACTACCTCTCCCCTTGATTGTGACACAAGGAGAGATGCTAGGGTATTAAGGACTTGTATGAGTCTCCTATGACTATAATTGCAAAATGGCAATTCTGAGATATTTATCAAGGTGTGAATTACTTCTCATACATTTTAAGGTAACTTGTGTATTTCAGGAATCATGAAAGTTTCATTATAGTAAGCAGCAAGTATATGCTCTACAGTTGAAGAGAGTGAGTGAGTGGAAGGAACTTTTTTTTTTGAGACAACTTGAAACAGCTTGTCTAGAGGGATGGACAACATAGTGATGATGACAGGAAGTGGGCACAGGGGAGTAGACAATGTGGACAACTGTAATGTAGCAAACAGAATGAGAGGAGTGCTTTTAAGGCACATACTAAGTAGTACAACCTAATGTAGACTCTTCTAGAAAGTTCTGTACAGAGTATGGGAAATGTATTTACTGTATAGTTACTTTATTACTTTCTCTTATCCCTTGTACTTTCTCCTCCTTCCCCTCACACAACCACCTTTCTACTCTAATCTGATTGAGTAGATCCTACCAGAATGGATCCTCCTGACAAGATTGACTTTACTTGGTTCCTATAGGATCAAGATTACATGGCTCAGGGACTTGCACAGTCTGTATTGTAGAATGTAGGATTGGAGAACACAAAGTACAGTACTCTCCTTTGTTCTGTAAGCCTAAGGTTTCATAGCAAAAGTATGTTTATTCCTTTGAATGTTAATTTACATACTCAGCTTAAAGATATTCTGAGTGATAGAAGAAACTCTATACTTACTCTGATGTTATTGAGTACACTTGCTAGTACAGTTGCTCATAAACATTGTAGTCATCTCCTGATTCTGCCCTAGGCATTTGACCTTCCTAACACAGCTGTACCTTGAGAAGAGAGAATGCTTGCTTAATAGGATTGAAATCTAGTAAGTATGAGGGAAGATATTCAAGCCTGACACCCCTATTCTCTTTGTTAGCAAATAATCTAGGTATAGAGCCTAGGCTCTATGTACTTTGCTTCAACCATCTCTCAGATTTCTAGGGACTTGTGGATCAGACAATTATCCATTACTAAGACAGATTGTAGTCTGGGAAATGGATTCATGTACTCTAGTATACTACTAATGAATGTCTTAAAGAGTTTGGTGTTGAAGGAACCTTTAACAATCATACAGTCCACAATTCTGTCTACAGTAATACTAGGGAGGATAGAATATCTTAGTACTGTAAGTGTTACCAATTCATTCTAGCTTATAATAAGAAATCTTACTGTTTGCCCTGTATAAAGAATGCCTTACAAACTGCTTGCAAGCCTTCTAAGGCCTATGCCTGATCTCTCATGTATGTATGTCAGTCACAAGCACTTTCATCTGTAAATACTATGTACTAAGGCCTATAATGTAGGGACATGTATGCCCTGAATTCAGCCTACAAGAGTTCATTCTACTCTTGTGTGTGTCTTGTTATCTATAAACCTAAGTTATATCCTCCTCTAGCAGATGAAGTGTCTCACACACCTTTTTTAAAGTGAAACCAACTCTCTTCAAAGTCCTATATACTATTGTTTCTAAACACTTTACACTACATTACTTTTCAAGCATCTCTTTCAATTCATCTAGGTATGAATCATTTTGAAATTCTATCTGACTACATATAAACTTAATATTATAAATATTTAATGTGTAAGTCAATTTCTTTTGACACAATAAGAGCCTCTTGTACTTACTTGAGTGTTATCATAGTCTAATAGTCTTGGCCTGCCTCTATTTGACAGCTTTTGTGTACAGGTAAGATACTCTGTACCTAACTGTTATAGTTCTCTACTCTTACACCTTCTGTTCTAAGGGTTTTACACTCTTCCATACTAGAACTCAGGACTTCTGTCCCTTAGAAGTACTGTCTATAGACTATATACATACTGACTCTTACTACTACCCCTTCTTACTTTATTATTCTGTTCCTTTAATTACCCTTTCATTCTTTATTCATTCTATAGTCTCTTACCCTTTGTCTACCCCTTTATTCCTTGTATCTTTATCTTTGACCTTCCTTTCTTTTATTCTTTGTAACTTATTATTCTTAGTAGCTCATACTCTCTAAGTACTCTTGTATAGTTTAGTATATATAAGTGTACAAGATTAGACTAGTTCTGTAGTCTTAATCTTATTTACTCTAAATAGTTCTATACTCTTAAACTTACTCTATATACTCTACTCTTGTCTTACTCTCTCTCTCTGTCTGTTTTACAAGTTCTAACTATGTTTTAGTACTTACATTCTGTATTTCTGTTATATAGAATAGTTGTAGCCTGAGTCCCCTTACTAAGTCTTTAAGTCCTCTCTATACTGTTACTAACATTAGATTAAGACTACTTATTACTATCTTACAACTCTCTTACATTTTGAGTATTAGTACTTACTATTGTGTTAATCTCTTTTCTTTGTTTTAACTCTTTTACATTTTTAAATTTTAAACTTTTACTACCCTTCTTCTATTTATTACTCTTTTTAGTTTAGTACTAATTCCTTTATAATATAAACATAGACTCTCCTACACTAACTACTACTCTTACTGTTCTACTAGATTAGTAGTTATAAACAGACTTAGCTTAATATGTATAAACCTCTATTTAAGAGACTCTTACTAACTACATACCTTTAACTCTCTTAGAACCTGTTCTAATTGTTTTAGAAGTTACAACCTGTTTTAGAAAGAAAGTGTATATAGTCTACCCTTTAAACTTTAATAAGTAGTACTTTAAGGACTTCTAGTACTAAGTTAAACTATATATAGTTACTACTTTGACTAATCTATTCTTAGACCTTGATTGTATTCTATTTGTCCTCTCCTTTATAAAAGAAGGTAATGTGACTATCTAAGCTTAGAACTAGATTAAAAGCTATTAGATTAGAAGTCTAATCTAACTTTAGAATAATAAGTTGTATTTAGAATTTATAAAGTAACTCTATACTTCCTTTATTAATTTAAATAAGAAGTACAATATATAGAATAAGCTTGTGTCTCTGTAACAGAGTAAACATTCTACTAATACCTTCTTTCAGAAGTTTAATATCCTAGCCTAAAAGATAGGATTTATACTTAAGTTTAATAATGTTCTTATTAGAATGTTTGAAAAAGCTCTTTACTTAGAACTAGTTAATAAGATTCTTAAAATAATATTAAAACTAACTACTTACACTAAGTAGAAAACATATACTATTTCCTTTGACTAAGCTATAGTTTGAATATATTAAGTTTGTATAGAACACTTACACATGTGTCTAACTCTAACAGTTCTGAGTTCTTAAATTAATCTACTTATAATTTGTAATCAATTTGTTCTAATAGACATTAGAGAAGTCTAAAAGTAAAGAGTATACTTTACTTGTAGAAAGTCAGAGTATTAGATTAAGAACTGTTTACAGAAGTAATAGTATATCTGTCAGGTTATTAGAGTAATAATAAGTAACAAGTAGAATTTGTAGTAAGAAGCCTTTTTTACAAATCTAAAAGTCACCTTAAAACCTCTAAACTCTAACTATGTACTCTAGAATTTTATAAAAGCTTAATAGTAAATATAGTACTAAAGAGCTATAACTTAGATTTTTTAACAGTTACTTTTGATTTAATAGACACTATAGAATTAGAAGTAAATAAAGTAAGAAAAGTAGAAAAAGTAAATCAATAAAATTATTTATTAAAAAGAAAAAAGTTGAAAACAAAAGTAGATAGTTCTTTTATTCCTTCTGACTCTTTTGATTCTTCTCTTCACACTTTATCCAAGTCTAAATCTATACAATCTAACTTACTACTTTTGTATTCTATATTCTTAGAACATTTGAAACACTACTTAGCCTTGTTTACTATTTAGTAGTTTGTCTATAGTATTAAGTAAGGATAATCTTAACTAAGTTCACAGTTAAGAATATGAGTCTATCCTTGTTGAAAGAGAGAGGTTAATAAGGAAATGTTAGTACATATACTTACTCTCTTAAACAATAAGATTGTACAAGCTGTACATTCTCTTTAGAACAAGTAGTAGTTTATTAGAGAATATTCTAAGTACTAGCTCTAAGTCTCTGTCCTCTTAACTCTCTTCTTAGAATCTCTCCAGATCTAAACAATAACTCTAGTAAACAGTAAGTATACTAGTTTGTACATTAATAAGACCTTTGTATAGAAACACTACCTTTCTACTTAATGTGTTCTACTTTTAATCTTAGTATACAATACAGACAGAACCCTAAATCAGAATAGTTAGATTACTAAGTTTACCTAACTATAGATGACTATTTAGGATCATAAGGAAAGTATTGAGTTTAGAGTTACTAATCTTAGAAAGACAGATGTCTTTATTAGATTCAAATAGCTTAAGACTCACAACTCTACTATTAACTAGTTAGAGTAAACACTTACATTCAATCAGTGTTCTGAGTCTTATAGTTATCTTATACTACTGTCCTAAGTAGATACAAACACTTCTAATGTTACTAACAGTTCTAATAAAGGTAACTAGTTGTTCTTCTTTAACTAGAATAAATATATAAACACATATTCTAGTTAAGACAGAATAGAGTCAATTTAAAAGATGTCTAAGACAGAACTAGTCTAGAACCCCTTTAGAACAACTCTACTCTAGTATATATATAGACTTAACCTGCTAGATTTTGTCTAAGAGTTTTCTAAAGTCTTTAGTAAAGAAGAATTTAACTAGCTTTCTAAACACTGTTTTTAGGACTATACAATTGAATTAACTAAAGGTTTCCAACCTAAGGATTATAAGGTCTACCTACTTAATAGAGACAAGTAGGAGGTGCTTGACAAGTTCCTTTAGGAAAATCTTTAGAACAGCTAGATTTAACCCTTAAAGTTCTTTATAGTCTTCTCTTTCTTCTTTGTTAAAAAGAAAGATAGAAAGCTCTACTCAGTTTAGAATTATTATTGTCTTAATAAGAGTACTGTTAAAAACAAGTACTTACTCCTCCTAATTCAGGAGCTTATTAATAAGATGTATACATTTAAGGTTTTCACTAAGTTGAATGTTTAGTAAGAGTATAATAATATTTGGATCTAAGACAGAGATGAGTAGAAGACTGTATTCTAAACTAATTACAGATTGTACAAACTGACTATAATATTCTTTAGACTAACTAACTTACTTATAACATTCTAGTTATTCATAAATTACATTCTTACAGATTTGATTAACTCAGAGTATGTTAGTGTGTATCTAAACAACATTCTAATCTTTACTCAGACAGTTAAGTATTATTACTAACTAATCTAAGTAGTTCTATAATAACTCTAAGATAATAAACTGTTTCTCTAAGAAGTAAAGTACTCTTTTACACAGGAGTCAGTAGATTATCTAAGCTTTGTAATTGGTAGAGGAGAGGTCTGTATAAATCTGACAAAGGTAACTACAGTTTGAAACTAGTTATAACTTTAGAACCTAAAACAGGTCTAAACATTTCTTAGGTTTGTAAACTACTACTAACACTTTATTTAAAACTTTAGTACTATTACCTAGCCTCTTTACAATCTTACTAGTAAGAATGTTCCTTAGTAATAGAGTAATCAGTAGTAGTCTGTGTTTGAGTCTCTTAAGTAGACTATTACTAGTAAGCTTATATTAGTAGTTCTAATAGTTGTAAACAAGTTCTAAGTTAAAGCCAACTTGTCTAACTTTGTAAATAGAATAGTATTGTTCTAGTTTATTGACAGAAAGTAGTGTTTGATAGTGTTCCAATCAGAATCCCTCTCTATAACAGAACAGAACTACTCTATCTATAATAAGGAACTCTTTATAATTGTCTGTTTCCTAAAGGAGTAGTATTAATATCTTCTTAGTATAGTATAAAAGTTTAAGATTTAGAGTAATCACTTTAATCTCTAGTACTTCTAAGTATCTTAGAAGCTTAACTGTTACTAGACTTGTTAAATGTTAGAACTGTAGGACTATGACTTTATACTAACTTACAAACTTAGAATACAAATAATGAAAGCTAATTTACTCTTAAGACAAGTAGGTTATAAAAGGGGAGAGAATAATAACAAAAATCTTATTCTTCTAAACAACTCCTATTTTACATCTGAGACAATCTAAGAGATCTGACTCAAATTCAAGAATGTTGACTTTGTTACTTACATACAGTAAGCTCTAAGACACACACAGGACTAGGTTATAGTAAAGTAGTTAGAGAAGTAGGCTAGAGACTA